AATTCTAAGAAATCTCTCTTGTAGAATAGATCTTGATTAAGATCTATTAATTCATCTTGTTAATAAACTAAACATTACATCTGTCTTGAAATTATATTTTGGAATTGGACTACATTCTAGCTAGTTATAACAAGAATACTATCATTATCTATCTTTAGATTAACTTTGAAATAATAGTAGATACATTCTTGTCAATAAATCTTTTAAAGACTCTCCCAAACATCACTTTAAGCATGTGATCACTTTTATCATGTGCTTTTGTAATATTAGATTTAATACTTATCCTCATCTTAGAACTCGTATCAAAAAGGTAATAATATGATATAATATGTAATATGATATAGTTTTAAGTAATTAAAATAACTAAAATCAGATGATTAAAGTGATAAAACAGAGAGATAATTAAAATAGTAATTGTTTTATTAGCATAACATATAACTAATCATATAATTATGTGATTATATAATAATTATATGAATATTATAATCAATCATGTGATTATATAATTGATTAATTATATTATGTAATTTTTCAAGATTATTTTTAAAAAAGAGTGTTCTATTTAGATTATTTCTTAAATAATAATAATTTTAAGATATAGTGAAAAGATCACACATGATATTGATATCCACAAAAAATCGGAAAAAATTTCGTTTTAATCTGTCAATATTATAAAATATTAACTGTTCTTCACAAATATAAGTCACGTGTATCATGTGACTTAAAAGATTGACTAAAAAATACGCGAAAAAATTATTTTCTATTACTATCACAACGATGATATTAAATATATCCCAATTAATAATTCTTCGCCCTGTTTTATTGTCTAATTCGTTTATATTTGCGCGTATTGCTCATACAGGAAAAGGAGGGGTTACCCGTTTACTTAATACAACAAAAACGCCAAATCAAGAGCATAATGATAGTAATAATAGTAGAAATAATAATGAAGCAGAAAAAAATGATATAGAACAAGCTTTCAACATTTCTAATGATTCTAATGAAGCAGCAGTAGCAGCAAAGTTGAAACCTCAAGAACAAAAACAACAACCAGAAGCCCCTGTCAAAGACTGGAAACAAACCATGTTAGAAGCAACAAAAATGGCAGAACAACCTCCAAATGCCCCCGTCGAAGACCGGATGCTAGAGGCAGATTTGAAACTTCCAGAAACACCAAAAAAGATGACAGAACAACAATCAGAAGTCACCGTCAAAGACTGGAGACAAATTATGTTAGGAGTAACAGGAAACATGGCAAAACAAGCCCCCGTCGAAGACCGGAAGTTAGAGGTGTTAGAGACAGACTTAAAACTTCCAGAAACACCAAAAGCTCCCGTCAAAGACTTGAAACAACCCATATTTGAAGCAAAAAGCAAACCTGACTTAAAAAACAATCCAGAAACAGCAAAAGTGTTACCAATAAACATGGTAGCTCCAAATAATATAAGGCGACAAGAAGAAAAATTTAATAATAATGGGACAACTCGATTTCGAATTTCACAACTAGCGAAGAAGTGGGAACGACCGACCATCAGAATGCAAGATAAAAGTCTTGAGCAAAAAGAGAAAACGAATATCGAAACGGCTGAAAAACCTCGACCTCAACCCTCACAACTAGCGAGAGTATGGGAACGACCAACGACCAGACTGCAAGATGAAACTCATGGTGTTGGAATAGGTTTTTTCCCTTTTTTTTTTTTTTTTAAAAAATTCTACCCTGACAGAAAATCAAAATAAATTAATATGATTTCTTTTTTCATGATTCAGCGTTAAATGAAAATAAAACACAATTTGTATTGATAAGTAGACTTCCATTGACCGCAATACCGGGTGATATTCGAAGCTTGGCAACGAAAGAATTGGAACCATCAATTAAAGAGAGTGAATTATCTCAAATCTTTTTTTAATTTTCTAAATTATCGCATGGATTATTGATCATTTCCGTTTCGTATAAAATTAGTATGTGTATGGAGAAATGAGTTTTATCGATGTACCGGGAAAATGGCCGTAGCTTTTAATTCGTTAAGCGCAGCCGAAAAATTCATCAGGGCTAATCTTAATAGTGCTGTGGCTGGACAAAGAATTTCATGCGATTTTATCGTGAGTATCTCAAAGTTTTGTTTTATTATTAGCATTGTTGTTATTATGTTTAAAAATTATAAATTTTATTATTAGGATGAGGATGTATATAAAAGAAACCGTATCGGTGAATTAGTTAAACGACCTGGGACTTATGTTACACTTTTAGGATTACCAGGAACAATATCTCATAGACGAATGGACATTGCTTTGTCAGAATATGCGGTGATAGATAGAGAGTCTACTGGTATAAGACTGTTGCGATGGTTTGTTATCATTATTGAAACTTTTTGATGCAATTTTTCTTTGATTTGCTACTAATATTTTTGTATTATTGTTATTGCTAGTATGGGACGAGAGTTAACGTCAAAATGGCTCATAAAATTAGAGTCAACAAGAGAGGCACATCGTTTAATTAGGGATGTAAATAATCAATATTTTATGCCTGGTGAATTACAAAACGAATTTTTAGTTCAAGCTGTTATTGCCTATTAAAATTTTAAATAAAAAAACGTCGCAACTCAGAAGATCGGCGTGTGACACAGAAACACCGGATTCATTCGCATTTGCTAAAGATTGCAAAATATATATTATCGTTATATATACGCGTAAAAAAATAGGAGAGATGCCTTTTAAGAATGAAAAAAAGGTCGAAGAAGATAATGAACCTTCAGTAAAAATATCCGAAACATTCGGAGTAAGCACCTTTGGTGGTGGTAGTAGTAGTGACACTCGTCCTTCTGTAGTTGCTTTGTCTCCTGTTGATAATGGTAGTAGCAGTAAAGACATTTCTCGTCCAGAACAAAACATACATTTAAAAGACAGTGCTCCAACTTCGCCGTGTCAAACTACTACAATGACTGATAATATAGCATTGAGAAGGTACAGACATATTAGCATTGCATCTGTCAGAACGATGCGTCGTAATCGTCGACGTTTCCGAATACGGATTTTTGGGCAATGGGTGAAATTGCAAGTCGGCACACTCTTTACCCAAGCTTATCAAAAACTACACCAACGAATTCAAAATCAACTAATCCTTGCTCAACAGGATCAAAATGCTGTTCAATCAACTCGCCAACCTGTTGCGGTTTCAACACAAACTCTTTGCACTGTTGCGACACAGACTGATTTAACCGATAGTAGAGAAAAATTGAAAGGACAGGATGGACATTCTAAATACACAAAGTACTCCGAAGTAATCGTTAATGAATCATATAGAAAAATAGCAAATCCATTCACGTCTAAGATGCGAAATGAAAAGAAGAAGGAATTTGAAAAGAAAAAATTGGAAAAGGAGCAAAAACCCAAATTTGGAAATTCGTCTTATGCACCTAAAAAGCACGTAAAATCAAATTCACGTAGAGCTTCTCTTATGCAGTCCAAATCAAAATATTCGTTAAAGTCTGAATCTTCGCCGCCTAAAAAATATACAACCACAAGGATGTCACGTTATATCCTGAACGTTCCATTTGACACACTAGCCACATCTACCACACCAACACCTACACCTACAATACAAAAATCAATTATACCTCCTAATGTAATGATTCCATCCGGAAAACCATTGGATTCGTTTTTACCTCTGGCGAGGGATCCAATAACACCTCCGTTACTCTCGCCTCAAATTCCTGAAACCATCAATAATAAAGACAATGAGGGCATCGTTACTAACACGAAATCAATTACTAAAAATAGTAAGCAACCGCCTCTCAATAAAGATGTTTCCGAAAAAGACACTGATTTAGCCGATGGCAATTCTTCTGAAACCTTGTCAATAAAAAATAAACAAAAGTCAAATGAATCAACTCCTGGAAAGGTAACCAGAACCAAAAAAAAAGGGGAATCTAAAAATGAACTAAGTAAATTGGAGAAAGATAAATCAATAATTACTAGGAAATATAAAAAAACCAATGATAAGTTATCCGAGGAATCATCTTCGGACTTTGAGATTGATAAAACAATTGCAAATTCTATTCAGACAAAGCCATCAACACCGAAGGTCACACGCAAAAATGTAAGCCCCGGTTATTATTCAGCGATCTTTTCGTCTGATGAAGAGTTACTTTCTCCATCATCAAACTTTGGAAAAACAGCCCGAGAAAACAAAACAGCTGAAATTTACACTGCGAATCCCTCTTCAGATAAAGAGATTAATGGCGATGAAACTATAAGTTTAGAAAGTAAATCAATCCTCGTTACAACTCCACCAACACCGGGCAATAAAAAAGAGAGGAGTTCTTTAAACGTTGCTCAACCTTTAGTAACATTTTCATCTGAAAAATCAATAAAAACAGCATCAATCTCACCAGTAAAGACTGCACAAACTTCACCAGTAAAGACGGCACAAACTTCATCAGTAAAAACGGCATCAATATCACCGGTAGAAGCATCAAAGCCTAACAAAGATCAAAAATCAAAAGAAATGAATGAATTCGATGTTCAGCAGACAACTTTTACTATTCCAACGGCACCCATT